GCGGCTGTCTGAGCGCGCGGGGCCCTTGTCCTTCGGGAACGGAGGGCGAGCCGGGAACCGCGGCCGGCGGCGCTGCACGCGCTAACCCGCATGGGATACGCATGCGCAAACGCGTGTCTTCCATAGGTGTTTAAAAATTAATTTTAAATTTGCAGTAGAGCACATGTACTCACCAGAGAAGGTGAGGAGGCCACAGGCTGCCAGGTCTGGGACTCTACGACGGGGGCCACTGGGAGTCCAGAGCCTCAGCCACCTGGCGGCCGTACGTCCGGCTGTCTCTGGGTCGCTGTGTCCACACGTTGGTGGCACTAAGGCCCTTCACGGCTCCCTCCGTCCACTCCCATCCATTCCCTGGTTGTCACATGCTACTGAAGTGGTAGCCCATGCTTTGGGAATCATCTGCATGTTTACTTTGTGAAAAAAAACGAGGGTGTGCCAGATCCGTGAGCAGAAGCGAGAGGTCCGAGAATCCCGGGAGGTCCTGGTGCCAGTTCCAGTCTTGCTCCTGAGCGGTGGTCTGCCCGCACGCCCTGGTCAAAGACTCCTGGAAATGGGTCCTTTTAGATGAAGCTTCTCCAAATTGCTGTTGTTTCAACGTGTGATCAGTAGTTATCGATGAGATAATTTGCGTTCTGTGTTCCTTAGGAGGCCTTCAGAATTGGGTATTTTATACTGGCCATATTTCAGGTGCCACCTGGACAGAGGCTGTTGGCTAGAGTTGTGTGGTGCAGAACCGTTCTGGGCTGTAAGAACTAGTTCATGTCCCAGTTGTTTTTAATGTAAAGTCAGCGGGTACCCTAAAGATTAAAAGAAGCCAGGGGCCCCAGACGGCCTGGCAGGCACATCGCTGCACTTCCACATGGCCAGTCGCAGTTCGATTCCTGGACCTGGTGGCTTTAAAATCATGCTGGTCGCGGGACCAGCAGTTGGCATAATGGCTATGTTGCTGGACTCCCATGTAGTGGACCGCGGTTCAAGTCACGGACCCAGTGGCTTAAACTCACACCAGGCACATGTGCGTGTGTGTTCAAGATCCCAGGAGGAGAATGGAGAAGGGATTGTGGCGTGGCCATCCCCCCCAGGAGGTAATTTCTCACTTTCTGTCTCTGTCTTTCTGGCAAGCGCATGCACCCTATAGCAAAAACCTCTCAAAAAAAAAAAAAAAAATCCTGCTGGTTGCTTGTGCGTGCATCCCAGGAGGAGAATGGAGAAGGGATTGCTGCACGGTCATCCCCCCGGGGTGATTGCCAGCTTTTCCTCTCGTTATCTCTGTCTGTCTGTCTGGCTTGCGTATGAGCACACACTTCCTAAGGCAAAAACCTCTCCAAAAACAAATTAGAAGAAAATGCTTGAAGGCATCTTTATTTGCGCCCCTAATTTCTCAGCTGTGTGTGGGCCATGGTCTGGCTACCCTGTGTCCTTACCTGTAACAGTACTCTTTCTGTACTGGGTTCTGCTAAGGAGAGCCTTTGGTCAGTTACGGAGTGATGCGACTGTTGGCCACCAGAGGTCAGTCTAACCAGTACATTTTTATTAACTTTCTGTTTAATGGTTAATGCTGTGTGTTTTTGTTCAGTATTTTTTTAAACATAATCTGAAAAGTTGTTTAGATAGGTTGGGTTACCTTTAAACGTTGTGGTCTCAGTGCCTTAAGGATTTCGTGTTTCCCAGCTTTCGCTCTGAGTAAAGAACAAATGATAACTATTGTGGGAACAATCTTCCTGCCCTAGGTAGACTGAGTTTAACTGAAGGATTAACCAAAAATAAGTAACAGGTGCAGTAAGGGTTATTAGCTCTGAAATCTCGGAGCAGTCTAGTTTTTTTTATCGTTTTAAAGGTTTTGTTTGTTTGGGGTTTTGCCGTAGGCCATGTGCACTCTCCAGGCAGGCCCCAGCTCCCGCGTGACGTGACTGCTGTTGCCGTGCCTGGCCGGTGAAAGCAGTCCAGGAGACGACCCTCCCCGAGCCTGTCCACGTGGCCTACTCCTGCGCCAGCTCACGGAGGGCGGTCACAGCCCTCCTGGCCACTCGCTCTGGTTGTCTCTGACGTTGCCCCTGGGGAAGGGCTGCAGAGGCGGGCCTCACCGTGGGAAGCCAGCACCTTCTCAGCTGAGCTCGCCAGGCCGGGCAGGCCGAGTGCCCCTGCCCAGAGCTTGCCTGGTGCACCCCAGCAGGTCGGCCGCAGAACGCTCGCACCTCCCCTCCTGACGAGGCCTGCGGGAGTGTGACTTGCAGGGAGGTCTCCAGACAGACCGTCCACCACAGGTAAGCTGGGTGTCCTCGGCACTCCCCTGAAGCAGCTGGATACCTTCCCCCTGAAAGACCATAACACGTCTTTTATCCCACCTCCTTTCTGAGAAAAGGAAAACACTATACGTGGCAGGAGGACAAATGGTGGGACCCTCTTAGGACTTTTCCTGCTAGGGCTCCTGTTAGATTTAACATCTAAAACATTTTTCTATAAAGAAAGTAATGTTTTAGAGTAGATTCTTGAGCAATTAGAGGCCTTAGAGGTGGACTTGGGTTATTTCATACTGATGCATGAATTGTTTTACATCTCTAGTAAATGCCTTTCTACTTTTGACTCCAGTGTTAAAGAAATCAAAATATCTATTAGAAATTTAGCCATTCATCCAATAACATGGAAGCGTGCCTACTGGCCCAAACATGGGAATGCGGAATTAAATAAGCTACAAAAACTCGTTTAAAAATGTCTGAACCAATATACACCATCTGTGCTCTCTAGGGTAACACTAAATAACCCTAAACCCTGGCCCATATGTTGGTCCGTTAAATGTTTGAAAAGATGGAATGGAGGAGCCATGCAGAGTGGTGGGGGTGGGTGAGCGGGCACACTGATGGCCACGGGGAAGCAGCCAGGGAGCACCTGCGGTCATGGGTCGCGGGTGTTCTGTGTGCAGATTTGGGGTATGGCTCAGTGCACACGGCAGTGCACACGAGGACAGGATAGGAGGGCTCTGCAGGGTCAGCCGGGGCCTGTCCACCTTTCAGGCATCATGAGAACTTGGTGTGAGTGAAGGCTGGTGGCGCATCCGCCCGTGGGCCACGCCGTCGCGCTGAGGGTGCTACGCCAGCCGGCCTGAGCCTCGGGTACTTTCTCCACTCTCACTCGCTGCTGTTGAAAGGAAAAGGAAAACCTCCATGACGCATCTTAGGCGATTTAAAGCAGTTTTGTTAATGGCCACATACTCGAGTCTGAAATTGCATGCAGTCTGCCAGGCTTTATTGGTGGCAACAATGAGGTTATGTCCTATAAACGTGCTAGGGATGAGACCAAGAAAATGGGAAGGACGAGGGTACCGCAGTGCAAGCCCTGCCAGCTGGCCACCTGCCATGACCTGAGCGCTGTGACCAGCCTTTCTCCATGCCATGTGGGAACTGCCTGGTTTTTAACAAACTGGCTTAAAGGAGCAATGGTAGGAAGCTGGCTCTGGGACACAGTCAGAAACAGCCACACCCGGTCTGGACCGTCACACAGCTCGTCCCCTGGAACTAGGTGGTCGAGTGGGAAGATGTACGTGACTGGCGTGTGATCTAAAAGTTCCTGGTACCGTTTGGGGAATTAGACCCAGCACAGCAGGGATCACGCAGGAGATCGGAGACCCTGCTCCGCCTCACAAGGATCCTACTGTACACAGAAACCAAGCTGGGGGAGCACCGCGGTAGCTCACAGCAGAAACCAGGTGGGACGTTCTTGAGATGAGCGTGACCCTTAGGAAGGTGAGAAGCTAATTGTAGCTTTTATGGGGCCGGGGATGGCTACATTGGTTTAGCTGCTGAGCCTGTACCTAACCCTGCCCTCTGGTGTCTGGCACTCCAGGAGGTCAGCCAGTGCTCTACAGCTTCCTTCGGGAGGGACCTGACACGTGGAGCAGCCCGTGGAGTTGGCCGCTGTCCACCACACAGGCCATAGGTTAGCCACGATCGCACTGAGTGACCAGGCTGCTAGACAGAGGGTGTCACTCGGTGAGGCAGTGAGGGCCCAGCCACCAGCCAGAGAGCCACGCTCCTGCACCGGCTAAAGTGCCTTCGTGGTGGCTGCTGCCCACTTTCTCCCCAGGGACTGGGTCCAACTGTGTCATGTGGCATTGGCCCAGGGTCCCCACTTGGTGGTAGAGCAGTTTCCTTCTTTGAACTCAGCTCTTTCTGTGCTGGTCACATACTATGTAGGATAAAGTCCTTTAAATGTGTTGGGTTGCCAGACTTAGCAAATAAAAATACAGATAAATTCAAATTTCAGATAAACAGTAAAACCTAGGGCATATGCCAGGAAGGCACTTGTTACTCATCTTAGTTAGAATTTAACAGGCTGTCTGCATTTTATCAGGCAGCCTTATAAATGTAGTGGTAGCATCGATTAGGCTTGGCAGTGGCACCTGGCCGTTCCTGGTAACGTTCCGACTCCAGCATTCACTCTCTTCCTGCCTGCTAATGACTGGGGTGGGGGAGGCGCACGTAGTTGACCCACTTAGGGTTGGAACTGGGGTCCCATGGCAGAGGAAGGACCTAATGGCAGGCACAAAACTTTTTATAGGACACGCAGTATTTAAAATAAGTACATAATCATTACAACACCTTTAAACATAAGTTTTCAAAATGCTGTCTCCCTGGTGGGGAGTTGGGATGTGTTTTGTTTGTTCATGTGTGTGTGCGTGTGTGTGTGTGTTGTTCGTGTGTGTGTGTGTGTGCGTGTGTGTGTTTGTTGTTTGTTCGTGTGTGTGTGTGTGTGTGCGTGTGTGTTTTAAGCAGTTACTTTCTTAATTCTTCTTGACCGTGAAGACTAAGTGTATTACTTCCTCTTCTTTTTTCGTTACTTGGGAGCATAGTCTGGCTGCCGTTCTTTCTCACAGGAAAGCCCACAAATTTGGAACATCTATTTTTACCTTGCAGAACTCCCAAAAGACAAGGATGTGAAAGCGCAAGGTACAGGCTGGGGGCGAGGAGCAAAGGCAGAAACAAAGCGATGGTTCAGAAACATACTTTCACCTCCTCTTTGCAAGGCGACTGTTTCTCAGAAGACCGAAGGCTTGTTCTCTGGAGAAGCTGAATCTGATAGGACGCGGGAGGGTGACAGTGATACTTGTTACGTCGAAGACAGCATGATAAGAAGAATGTCTGATACGTGTTACGTCGAAGACAGAATGATAAGAAGAATGTCTGATACGTGTTACGTCGACGACAGAATGATGAGAAGAATGCCCGGTCTCTGGACACCGTGGGGACCCTCCAGTTCATTTTTTCCACCCAGCTACAAAATCTGGTAACAGAGCTTATGCCTGGCCCTGCACAACCACCTGAAAAAAAGCAGTGAACAAAATACTTAGCACTAGATTATTTTGTGTTTTTTAAAAAAGGATTATTTATTTAATTTTATTTCACTGTTATTTTTTAATTTGACAAGAGAGAGAGAGGGAAAGTAAGAAAAGTAGTCCCCCAGGTCTGGGACTTGAACCCTCTTTGGTCACGTGGGAGTCCATGCCTTCACCACTACGCCGTCTGCTAGGTCAGGCACTTGATTACCTGTTACTCTGAAGCCTGGAGCCCACAGGCCCTGCACATGGATAGCTTTCAGTCACTTGAAATCACTACACACTGGCAGCTAGGCATTGGAGGAAAACTTTCACATTAAAGATGAATTTAAAACTCCTCAAAGAAGGTATGATATCCACAGAAATGCAGAGAATATATTGTCCATGAAATAAGAACAGGATACTGGGCCAGCAGGTGTGTGGTGGTGAAGATACTGGATCCCACATAGCTGGCTTCATGGTTCAAGTCCTGGACGTGGCTTCTTGAAAATCATGCCGGGCGCGTGTCCACGCATGCTCAAAATCCCAGTGGAAGAGAAGGCAGTGTGGTGTGGCCATCCCCTGGGAGGAGATTTCCACTTTCCCTCTCTCTCTATCTCTCCAGTGAGCATATGCACCCTGTTGCAAAACTTAAAAACAGGATGCTCTTTTAAAAATGAATAATCAGGGCACCAGCAGTTAGCATAATGGCTATGTCGCTGAACTCCCATGTAGTAGACCATGGTTCAGGTCCCAGACCCAGCGGCATAAACTCATACCAGGCGCGATCCCGAGAGGAGAATGGAAGAGAAGGGATTGTGGCGTGGCCATCCCCTCTGGGGGGTGATTCCTCACTTTCTATCTCTCTGTCTCTGTGTCTTTCTGGTGGGTGCACCATGCCCTATAGCAAAAACCTCTCAAAAAAAAAAAAAAAAAGAAAAAGAAAAAGAATCAGTAAATAAGCTTTGGGGCAAGTAGGAGAACCAAAATGAAATATTCAGTAGATGTGCTGGAAAATAAGTCAAAATTCCAGAAAGTCACGGGCAGAAGTGGAAGTTGGCCAAAACCAAAAAGAAAACTTGGGAACCAGCAGTTAGCGTAATGGCTATGTCACTGGACTCCACGTAGTTGACCGCAGTTCATGTCCTGGACCCGGTGGCTTAAAACTCACGCTGGGCACGTGTGCGTGCGTGCCCAAGATCCCGAGAGGAGAATGGAGGAGAAGGGATTGAGGCGTGACCATCCCCCCTGGGGGGGTGTGATTTCTCGCTTTCTGTCTCTCTGTCTCTGGCGAGCGCACGTGCCCTATAGCGTAAACCTCTTAAAAAAAAAAAAAAGAAAAGAAAAGAAAACTAGATCAGAGTAAGATGCAACATCTGGTGAGAGTTGCAGAATAAGAGAACAAGAAAAGAGGCGAGTAAAAGTAATGCCGATGTCCTAAATTAAAAGGGCCCACTGGGTGTCCAGAGCAATGAATTAAAAACCACAGAAGCACATTGTATTTCAGGATGGCAGGGTTAAAGGAAATCTTAAAAGCTTCCAGAGAAGGAAGACAGTCCCACAGAAAGGATGATCTCAGGATGGCGCTTAGACTTTTGCGTAGCAGCACCGGATGCTGGAAGAGTGAAGGCAAGGCTTCACGTCCAGGAGAAGTTACAGCCTCACATCTGCCCTGGCAGTTCAGTCGGGTATGAGACTGAAATAAAGGCACCTGGAGGCTGTGCCGGTACAGAACTGTGTCTCCCATCCACTCTTCCCGGAAGGCCTGAGATCCGGGAACTGGAAGGTCTCACAAAGGACAGGAAGGAAAGTCCCAGTGTCCACCGTGGGAGTGAACAGGATGGCGGTCCGTGAAGTAGGTCTTTGCGGGCAAATGTGAGCATGGGAAAATGCAGAAGGGAGCGAAGCAGATGTTGAAGCGTTAGGGGAAAAGAAGGGGAGAGAGACTACGGGAAACTTACGTGAGTACACATTTTAGGTGGTTATCACCGAGGCACAAGAGTAAATCTGACATTTTTCATTTAAGAAAGAAATTTGGTGATAATTTGGATTCGTATTTCAGATATTTGATATTCAAAATATTGTGAAACTAGCATTGCCCGCTGAGGGAGCGAGCAGCCCTTAGGCCAGACTGCGTTTGGGATGTGTGCTCACTTTTAACAACACGTGTACTGCAGAAAGGACTTGTTGAAAAGTTTTCCAGTAACTCGATTTGTGAAAGGAACTTTGTCCTGGGCCTGTGTATGGCCTGGTCAGTAAGGCAGCTAGATCCCACATGGCCAAGCATGTGGTTCAGTCCCAGGTCCAGCAGCTGGGAAATAAAGAGGAACTTTGTCCCTTGCTTAAGCAAATCTCAAACATTTTTTTCTTATTTACAAAAATGATGAATAGTCTATTCCAGCAATTTCAAAAAACTTTTTGTTTACAATTTAGCCTCTATATATTAAAAAGTGTAAGGAATAACCTACTTTTCAAAAATCATATTTTAGCATTTTCATATCATTTTTCATCTTTCCTATTCTTTTTGTCATCAAGTTATGTCCAGTGGCTGATCTATAATATATTCTTGTATAGCATTTTAGACTTTTTCCCTATAAGTTAATGGTTCAGGTTTTTTCTATTAAGTGTGAATGATGTGTGCTGGCATGTCTGGTGGTCACATCTATCGAAGGATAGCGTATATACAATAACACACACTAGCCACACGTGTGTAACTCTGGCTATGCCCACCTCCTGTTTGGAGTAACTGATGTTTCCCCGTGAAACCCACAACATGGAGACTGATTCGCTGAGGTCCCTCCAGCCAAGAAGGCCCCCAGGATGCTCGCGCCCCTCGAGCCAGTCTCTGAGCTGATCATGTCCCAAGACCCCCTCCTTAATTTTGCCCTTAAAGACATGTCCGAGCTCCTCAGATGACCGGGCTTTTTCAGCACCGCTCCCTGCCCTCCTTCCTTCGTGCACAGCATCAGAGCTGTGCTCTCCCCCATCATGCCTGTGCCCGCGGGTCAGCTCGGTGCAGGTGGGTGGGCATGGCTGGGCGCAGTGACCCGTGTACCCGTTCATCTCCCGTCACACCCGTGCCTGCGGGTCACCTCGGTGCAGGTGGGTGGGTGTGGCTGGGCGCGGTGACCCGTGTACCCATTCATCTCCCGTCACACCCGTGCCTGCAGGTCAGCTTGGTGCAGGTGGGTGGGCGTGGCTGGGCGCAGTGACCCACGTACCTGTTCATCTCCCATCACACCCGTGTCTGCAGGTCAGCTTGGTGCAGGTGGGTGGGCGTGGCTGGGCGCAGTGACCCGTGTACCTGTTCATCTCCCATCACACCTGTGCCTGCAGGTCACCTCGGTGCAGGTGGGTGGGCGTGGCTGGGCGCGGTGACACACATACCCGTTCATCTGTCCTCTCACCTGCTGTTGGGCATTTGAGTTCTTTCCAGTTCTGGGCTATTATGAATAAAGCTGCAGTAAATATTCTGGGTTTTTGTGGATGTGTATTCAATCTTGGATAAATATCTAGGTGTCAAACTGCTGTGTTACAGGGTAGCTGTGTGCTTAGTTTTTGTAGAATTACCACTTTCCAAAGCGATTATAAAATTTTACATTCCCATCAGCAGTATGAAATTCCAGTTGCTGGGTGTCTTTACAAATACTCGTTATTGTCAGCCTTTTTGATTGTACCCGTCTGTGGTTGGGTACACTGTCTCAGAGAAGCTTTCCTGTAACCAGCCTTGTGGGCACCTCTGCCCGTGGCTCACTGGCCGTTCGGGTCCCTCTGGCCTAAGGTGTGTGTCTGCGGGAGTCCTTGGGCCTCTGGTGAGTGAGCGTCTTTTCCTTCGGGGTCCGTAGCTCTCTGTATACACTGCGTACGGTTGTCTTGCCAGGTGTGTGTGCTGTGAATGCCTCCTGCCATTCTGCGAGTTGCCTTTCTGCTCTTATTTTAGGCTGTCGGGGTTATTTCATAGACAACTTGGGATTAGACCGAAGCTTTACCGAACTTGTGTGGGTATAAGCTCAGCTCAAGAGGCCAGATGGTGGTGCCGCAGCTAAAGGGTGCTCCGTGAGGCTGGCCCACACGAGACGTCTGCAGATCTCCGGGAGACACAGCACACACATGCCCATGATTGGAGGACACAGCATCTGTTGCTCGCTCACTCGCTCACTCTCTTGCTCAGGGAAGAAATACACCTTTTTAAATGAAAAAAATTTAGAGCAAAGTTTCTCAATTGTATTTGGATCTAACTTCACCTTTTTTGAACCATTTATGTACTATATTAAATATACTGAAATTCGTAGGTAGGTAATATATTCTACTTACATGCCATTTTTTTTTTTTTTTGAATTTTTGAATTTTTGACATAGGGTGCGTGCATTCCCTGGAGAGAGACAGAAAGTGACAAATCACCCCTCAGGGAGATGGCCACACCACAGCCCCTTCTCCTCCAGTCTCCTCTCGGGACTGTGGGCCTACATGCACGCGGACCCAGCGTGATCCTGAAGCTGCTGGGTCCAAGACTCCTACTGCTGTTGACCACGCTTGGAGTCCAGCACCTGAGCCCTTACGCCACCTGCTGGCCCTCCACGCACTCTTGAAATCATCATTTCTTGGCAGTAACGGAAAGGGAGAATGAATGGAATTACAGTTCAGTTATTTTAGCATGTCCCTGGCTGGGGGATTGCCAGTGCATAGCTGTTACGTGACGTCATGGCTTGCACATGCCAGTAAGTTCACCGTGACTGCGGAAGTGGCAAGTGTGTGCTGTCTGGTGGCCACTGCTGGTGAGGTTTTCCAAAACGGTGAGCAGCTTTTGGTAAAGCTGCTGTTCCTGTAGCTCACACAAAGCTTGAGTTCCTGTAAGGCTGGTGTACAGGACCATCCTGCAGAAACCCTGTGAAGACAGCGTCATTAAGTAGGGGCGTGGATTCCTGGCTCCTCCCTCAGGTGGGCCTAGCCTAGGGCCCAAGAATCTCCTGGTGGTCATTCTTACTCCTGTTTTATTTTTAAAGAATAATTTATTCATTATTTTAATTTGACTAGAGAGAGATAGGGAAAGTGAGAAAGCAAGCCACCAGGGCAAGCCACCAGGTCTGGGACTCGAACCGTGGTCGACCATGTGGGAGTGTCCAGCGGCCTAACCACCTCACCACTGGGGAGACAGGTGTCCTGGGTAGGGAACCTGGGATGATGGACTAGAGACCCGAGGCCCAGGTGGCCTTTCCTCTGGGCGCAGGGCTCAGAAACCTGGGACCGAGTTCCTCCGCTGCGGGAGCTGCTCTGCCGCCTGTAATCGACTCCGGGCACGTTTTCTGGGCCGATGGCCTCCCGTGGAAGACGGGGACTGTCACCGCTCTGAGCGTAGTACGGGAGTAGGGCTGGGTTTCTAAGGCCTTGGGAGCTTGCTTGATTTACGAACAAGGTCGGAACTCGGTCTACGAACCATGCGGCCGATTATGTGCGGACGTTATTATCCACGCTTCTGGAAAACCTGGCCTCTTCCCCCAAAGCCCACCGAAACCGGGCCGGCCCCGGCACAGCACCGAGGACCGCGGCCGTCCTGCCGTGCCCTGGCCACTCCGCCTCCCCGCCTGCACCGGACCTCTCCCACTCCGCCCCGCGGCACCGCCCGCCCCGGACGCCGGGCTGCGGGCCCGGGCCGG